AGTAGGCCATAAATGTAATAAAAGTTTAAACTTTTCAACTTAACCCTAAATTAAGGTTTGTAATTGAAAGAGAATTATAGAAGTTAAAAAGGCATTTTGGAATTATTAAATTGCAAGTTTCATCTCTTTCTTGCAGTTGGTATCATCGTGTTGTATAAAGGTCATTATTATCAACATAGGAAGAGGCAATGGCATTGGAGCATTAGACATGACATTACTTTGAGGCCCATGAATTACTGGTGACATGTTTTAGATTAGGTATAATTGATTTGGTCCTTGTTAAGGCCCATGAATTGGGCACAATCATTGGTGAAGAAGTTAAGGGCCTGGAGGACTAGGGAACAACATAAAATAGTGTAGGGCCGTATTTGGGCCACTTTCTCGAAGCCCAATATTCCAGGTGGTTGGTTCATTAGAGCAAAATCTGTAACACAGGCTTATGTGCCTTAATGGGCCGTCAAAACACACAAGCATACCTGCTGGCCTACCATCAAAACCAATATTTTAAGCCTTTTAGGAGAGGTCATAATAAAGTAATGTTATGTTATTATCTATGTGATGGGTATTAATTTTATTTATATAAGTAAAATATAAATAAATGTTAAGTCTGTCATAAATAATAGGGTTAAATTGTCTAAATTGATAAGTTTATGGGTTTATTTACTTTAATAAAAATTTAAAAACTTAATTGAAAATTTGAGGTAAGTTTGAGGATTAGGGTTTTGCCTTTGAAAAATTGCATTTATTAATCTAATTTTGGCTTTTGCAGAATTTTTTTTTTCAAAAATTGGAACAAAAAAACATGCAATCAAATTCATAACTTGTACTTTTTGTAAATGTGCTTTTATTGTTCACAACTTTCCGAATCATTGTTGAAACATTTTCTAATTATCTCCCGAGTAGAGGAAGCTCTTTCCTTGTGGATCATCAGGGCTATCATGCTTGATATAATTAATGAAAAAGTGAGACTGGGGAAAATTTAAAGATTGTTGAAATAATGTTTTGTTTTTTGGTCTTCCACATTAGGTGATGATAATGTTTTTAGTATTTTTTTTATAAAGATTAGGGATTTAATCCTAAATTTGTAATTAAAAATACATATAATTTTACCATCATACTATATAGCGGATAGTTGATGTTTTTAGTAATAACAAATGATGAGTTTAAATTTTTTTTTCCTTCTTTGTGCATTTAGAATATATCTTGAAACCCAATGGAATATTAGTTTGAATGCTTTAGTTAAGCAGGGGATACTTCTTTATTGCCTTTCTCTTCAAAAAGACAAAAGAAGCCTAAAGCTATGAAATGGACGCGAAAGGGACACTCCCAGTAAAAGGAAGAAATTTCAGAGATATGAAATCAAGAAATTTATGACCAAGAAAAAAACAAAAATAATGACATTAGAAGGAAGAAGCCTAAAGCTAACAGGTTGCATATCTTACCCCTTTTTCTTTAGATTTTTTTTTAAAATTTTTAATTTATATATTAAAAGTGTATTTATTGTATATTTTTATTATAAATTTATATAAAAATAAAAAT